ATAAAATTTAACTTACTGTGGTGGTTTTCTACCTTTAGGTTTGAATCCTTCTACTCCTTGATTGCTAGGGATAAAGAAGTGGATAAATAATCATAAGAACTTAGTGGCTGACATATTTTTTTAATGTTTCAGTATCTATATGAAATGTTCCAAAATCTTTGATCAGATGTTTTGAATTTAACATAAAAGGGGGATAAACCAATAGTTTGAATAAAATCCAGAACCTGTTCCAAGTAAATAATCTGATTCCTACTAAAATGATTCATTCACTATTATATATGTTTTATTTATGAAATAATCAACTGAAATGCTCCAAAGCTTTTAGCTGTTATGTGAGAGCTAAGAGGTTTTGGGACTGCATTGTAAGCCATTTTTGAGTAACCTTCAGTGTTGTGTTTTTAAGTTACATTGAGAGGTCCTGTCCTTTCATATCAGCAGAATTTCCTACTTGCAGCACAGATTTCTCATACTTCAGACTTGTCAAATCTAATATTTGGAGCCTCAGTGCACAGGAAAGAATAGTTCAGTGTACCTCAGGATACAGCTAATACATTTTCATTTCATGAAATGTGTTGTCTAGAGCATGTCATCTGTGCAGCTACTTGTATAGCTCCCATCATGTCTAGCTTCAACACTAGAGTTTATTTTGGTTTTGAGAAGATGACAACTTTTCCTGTTAAAGCTTCCTAGGACAAGTTTTAGATATATACACCAATACAACATACCAGACTATTTGGCTTTACTTAAAAGAAACAATGCAGCTGGAGTAAAGCAATGTGCTCTGGAACACCCAAGTCTTCTCTGGGCACTGAAGCCTTTTAGTTTGATTACATACACAGTGGATTTCACTTATCCTGCAGGTATGCACTTCCAGTTGTTATCATTTGTAGTTTGTGTTTTAAGTATCAGGCAGTTTGTTCCAGTTCAGAAGTGATATTCAGACTATGCTTTGCATGGTTAAGTACATGCATGCCTAGTCCTAAATTGCAGCCAAAAATTGAGTAAAATTTCATCTGAATATTTTAGCTAAGGTAACTGCTGGAAATTTAAACTCTCAGACTGTAGGTCCTCAACATTTAGAAATAATTTCAAGTTAGTCTAAATGGAAAATATCTCCTTTTAAATGTATGCAGTGTTTATTTTGTTCCTAATAACTTACAAGGCTATTTCAAAGTAACCCTAAGTAATCTTAAGTAATACTTGAAAAGTTAATGACTCTACTGCATGAAAGCTTCTATTTGAGCTTAACTATGAACTCCCTGTTCATATGCAATCATAAGTAATGACCCTTTATTTAAGAAAACTGTTGACAGGGAGTTACTGACTTCCAGAAGTTTAGACTTGTTGTGAATTGTTTCAGTTTGCTTGCCTTGCAGTTATACCTCCAGAAATAATGTAATCAAAAGTCCAAGCTGGAAGGGACCTCTAGAGGAAGTCTGGTCTAACCTTTTGTTGAAATCAGAACTGTGAACTGGATTCCACAGGACCCCATCACTGGCCCTGAATAGTGAAGATTCTCAGCAAGGGAGATTTCTGTTTTACTGGACAACCAATTTCTGCTGAATGTTTTCCTTGACTGTATCTTAAGACCTACATGGAAAAAAAATGAGTATACATAATAAAACAGACTTCAAGAAATTGCCTGGGGATTTCTTGAAATGTGGCCTGGTAATTTCAGAAAAGATTAGTTCATGCAAGACCTTAAATTTAATAGCTTCTGTTGACTATAGTTATAAGAAATGTGCTTGATTGCATCTTTGCTCTAACTCGGGTCTGCATTGGGAATTGAATTTGCAAGTACTAAGGGATGTCTCTGTTTAGTGGTCAGTGTGAACCAAAATCCAGAGAACATAATTGCTGTTATTCCCCTCAGCTCTCCCAGGGGAAGATAAAAGGAGAATAAAGAAGAGAGGTGAAGGTTGGAAGTTAAAACTGAAACAGGGAAGGGCTAGTAGCATGTAGGATCAGGAACAAATATGTAAAAAAACTGATTTTGGTCATCTCTGGTATGTGTCCATAAGTCCCTGGTGGCAGAGCAGACTTGGGAAAAGTGTCCAAGCCTCTTTGCAGCACCCAATGGATTTGGCAGAGCATGTGGCAGGCTGATGACAGAACTGGAGCCTCTCTCCAAGGCCTCTGAGCACAGCAAAAGCAGTGAAGAAGGGATGGACTACCCATCCTGGCTTTTATAGGATATGGCAGGAAATGGGAGACAATACTGACCCCTCTCTGTTCTGCCCCTTGTAGCCCTCAGGATCATAAACAGACTCTCTCTGGGTCCTCATATTGGTACCATAAAATTAGTCTGTGCCCTCTCAAACTGTAACAAGGGAAATATTTTTTTATATGTAGTAGGCATTTAATGCTTGCTTCTCTAAAGCTGAAGTAGGTAAACTGGAGATACAGACTTTGTAGGGTGACTGCAGCTGTGCCTTTTCTCTCTCAGTGCTTCTAGAAGCAATGAAGAATTTTAAGCTCCTATTACCCCATTGTCAAGTGTTTTCAAATTTCTCTGGAGGAGTAGGGAGAACAAAGAAGCCCATCTTGATTCTTTAACGGCAAAGTAATAGAGAAGCAGTTCAAGAACTTAAAAGTCGTTCAATAAATTTGAGGCCACAAACAAGTAGTTTAAGCCTGTTTTGTTCTTTAGCATCACTGTTTTACTTGTGCCTGTAATGATCTTATTAACGTGATTGTCACTTCAGATTCCAACAGTGTGAATATCCTGGCTTTACAAAGTTTCATTTGGGGTAGTAAATATTCCTGAACAGTCGTTTATTGATAAGTAATCTCTCTTGTGGTATTATTTTTGCAGGAACTGTAGTAGAGTTGACCTTTGCTGGCTGCCAAATGCCTACCAAGCTGCTGTATCCCTCCCTGTCCTCAACAGGATGAGGGAAGAGGAAATAAGTCTGGGCTGAGATAAGGACAGGGAGATTGCTCAGCAATTAGTCATGGGCAAAACAGACTTGACTTGGGGAAGATTAATTTATTGCTGATTAACTGTAACGGACGATAGTGAGAAACAAAAACCACCCTTCCTATAACACTCCTCCCCCTTCTTTAGGGGTTCAACTTAACTCCTGATTCTTCTACCTCCTTCTCCAGAGAGGTATGGGGGATGGGGCTTATGGTCAGCTCATAACACTTGGTTTCATGCTCTTCCCCTGCTCCAGCCTGGAGTTTCTCCTGAAGGATAGTTGTTCACAAACTGCTCTAATGTAGGTCCTTCCTGTGGGCTGCAGTTCATGAACTGCTCTGGTGTGAGTCCCTTCCTGAAGGACTGTTCCCCATGGAACAGACTGTTCCAGTGGGATTCTTCCATAGGAACTCTGTGCTTCTGACAGAAAATCTGTTCCTGTGTGGGTTTTCCATGGTTTGCAGCTTCCTACAGGGCAAATCCACCTGCTCTGCTGTGGGGTCCTCCAAGGTCTGCAGGTGGATATCTGCTCCACTGTGGACCTCCATGGGTGGCAGTGGGACAACCTACATCACCATGGTCTTCACCACAGGTTGCAGAGGAACCTTTCTTTGTACTGAAGCACCTCCTCCCTTCCTTCACTGACCTTGGTGTCAGCAGAGTCATTTCTCTCATTTTCTTATGTAACTCAACTTTGCAGTGTGATTACCCTATCTTAAATGTTATCACAAATGCTATGTCACACTGGGCTAAGCATTAAGCAGTGGTGAGTGGGTCTGTCTGGTTGCTGGCTCTATCAACATGGAGGCAGCTTCTGGCATCTTCTCACAGAAGTCTCCCCTGCAGCCTCCTGCTACCAAAACCTTGTCATGTAAATAAAATACAGGAATATAATCTTAGTTTCAAGAAGCATTTACAGTATTTCAAACCAACTTCCAAGCATAGCTTATGTTTATCATCTCTTTTTTGTGGGCTTCTTTGTGTTGCTTTTTTTACTTCTACTTACTGAAATCATCTGTATACTTAGAATGAATCCTCAAGTCATCTCTGTAACTATCTTTCAAACAGTATATACCTTCCAAAATAACGGTGATGTGATACATGAAGGTGCAATGCTAAATCTCCTGGTATGTAGTATCACCTGGTATCTCCTGGAGCTTTTGTCCTGGCATGTATGACTGGGAATAGATGCCCTATGGAGAAATGCTCTTGAGAACTTTCACGTGTCCTAGCTCCTGGGCTGTTTTACATCCTTGAAGTGACAATAGGGGGAATCTCCCTTTTTCTTTTCCTTCATTATGAATAGCTGTTTGACACCAGAGTGTTTTAGCCTACTTTCTCTCTGAAACACCTTCTGGCCTGAAAGAGAACAACACCTGTATGTATGTTTTGGTGTTTTCTATGAATGGAAATGGTTGAGTTTTCCTTGTCTTCCTTGATTTTTGTAGCTCACCACGTTCTTCTCTCTAGTTATCTTAATGGTGTAATGCCATGGATATGAACCTCAGCAATCTTTAGTAATCTTCAGTGATAAGGGGGGTTGAGTGGTAGCTGAGAAGCTCTTGAGTGTTGATTCTGGTTTGAGACTGCTCATGTTCACTGAATTTAATTCCATGTTTGTTTCTGTGTATTAGTGTAGAGTATATTCTAGGATTTGCTGTGTTACCTCATAAATCTTTAAGGGAGGATAAGACAATTAAGACTTTCTTGTTTTTCAGAGTTTTGGTTGGATAGTATTGTATCTGAGATTGCCAGCTTTATTGTTATGGTTTTATGTACCTGCTAACAATTGCTGAAAATTGAATTGCAGTTTGAGCACATCTGTTCTCATTCAATATGATAAACACAAAGTGCTCTTCATACTATTTGATTTCTTTGAGTTCAGATATTTCTGATTCTTTTCACATCGGTGGAGCCACTGACATGCTGTGAACTGTCCTACGTGTTAGAGCTTAATGACTGTAGTTTGTGATCTAATGCTTTTTACCTAGAAAAAAGTTGTTTCAGGCAAATACTCCATTTTTTTAAAAAAATTGTGCTTAAAAACCCAATGAGATTAATCTTTTTTTTTTTCTTGCAGTTCAACTTTGTGGGAAAACTTTTGGGTCCACGTGGCAATTCTCTCAAGCGCTTACAGGAAGAAACACTGACAAAAATGTCTATTTTGGGAAAAGGTTCTATGAGGGACAAAACAAAGGTAAGACCTTTGCTAGTGGAGTATGCTAGTGGAGTGTTTGGTACCTAGATTTTTTTACTTATTCCTATGGTCTTTGGGGAGATGAACAGACCCTGTGACAAAAATTGGGGAACAAATAAGTGCAGGACATCCTTGTGTTAGATACATTCAGATGGAGTCTCTTTTCTCTAAGAAATCTGCTCTCACTGAGTATTTTGAGGCTACCATGAGTTGTATCTGCCCATGTGCCAACAGTCCTTAGGGATGTAAGTGGGGCATCTCCAGTGCCGTGTTCTGGATTGGTTTTGGACAGCTTTAAGGAGTAATCCACAAGTGAACTTGTCAGTATTGTTGCTTTTGAAGGAACCTGACTTCTTGATAGATCCAAACATTTTCATGGAAAATATAATGTAGCACTTTAATACAATTTAATAAAATTACAAGACAAACAGCGGATGAATGAAGATAAAAGCAGAAAAAGTCACAACTCTGAGGGTGACTTATGCAGCTTAAGCAATTGATAAATGGCAAATAGATTTTTGGGACATGTTTGGTTACAGTGGCTGTATTCATTACAAGAGCCAAAGCAGACACCAGAAGAGAAGCCTTGGGCTTGATGGGTGTATGTACAAACCAGTTTCACTCTATACTGAAACAAATCTGTCTAAATTTGTAGCAGATAAGTGTAGAACAGTGAGGAGATACGTCACCTGTCTGGTAAGCTGCATATTTTAATTGGAGCATTCCTAATGATACAATTTAAAACACTGAGCATATTTCTTGCCTGTAGCACACCAAGTTTTATAGGTCTGCAGTGAAATATTTCTGTAGTTATGTAAGTTGAAGCTTGAAAATACTGTGTGCTGTAAAGACTGAGAAACATGTGCATGCAGAAGAGGGACTTAAAGGGCTTGCTAATGAATTTCCTAAACTGTATTTTTTCAGCACATTTCTCATCAGAAAAAATGTGATGTGACTTGTAGTGTTTGTCAAGAGCCTGATCAGATGCCACAAATTACTTTGTGAAACTTGGGAGCTAATTCATCTTTTACTTCATTAAAATATTAGATTTCTGTAAGTTACATTTAATAAAAACTAAGTTTATAGAACTACATTATCCTACAATAAAGGCTGGAAGATGAGAGGGATTTTTGGAATGGGAGCTGTTATGCAATAGATAAATCTTAAAGTTGCATTATTTGTATTAAATGTTATGTAATTAGTTATGAAAAAGTAGTGCAAGTAACACAGCTGTTCAAATGGAAAGAAACAAGAATATCAACTAAATTTGCTCTAAGCCAGGATGACAGTCCAAATTCTAAGTGACACTTGGTGAACTTTCTCAGTTATTGTGGAATGTGTCAAACTGACAGTCTTCAGTTGTTTATCTATAAAAGTATGATGTGTCATGGAGTAGGAAGGCCACTGAGTTTTTCTAATGATTCTGCACTATAAAAAAGTTTATGAAAAGCAGAATCTCAAGCTGACAAGCTAAAATCCTAACTTGAGTCTCAGAACCCTAGGGAAGAGCCTTAAAGGTTTCTATTTGATTAATTTGAACTTGTTTCTTTTGGTAATAAAGTAATTGTTCAAATTTTTATTTCACTTTTTATTGATTAAGATGCTAGACAAAATTGCTTAAGTATTTTCTTAAGTGGATAATCAAGTTTTCTGGTGAGTTATTTTTTGCAGAAAGCTTCAATGCACTAATCTTTGAGGTCAGAGTAAGATTTCTGTCACTGTGGGTCTGGTTGTATTTTAAAAAGAGACAATAGAGGTGGACCCTGTTGGATACTTTGGAATTATATATCTGGAATAGGTAGAATCATTAAGGTTGGAAGGGACCTCAAAGATCATCAAGTTCCAACCCCCCTGCTATGAGCAGGGAACCCTACCACTAGGTTGGTTTGCACAAAACCTGGTCCAACCTGGCCTTAAAAACCTCCAGGGATGGGGCATCAACAGCCTCCCTAGGCAACCCATTCAAGGTACATACAAGCTGTTTAGAACAGTCCTTCAGAAAGCACCACACAGGACTAAACGAGATCATTAATTGAACTGCTTCCAGTACTTGATTGAAGCTCCTGCACATGTGCAAGAAAGCACTGGTGCTACCAGGGCATTCTATCAGCTAATCTAAACCAAGTTCTTTGGGGACTCGTTGGCTCAGCAAGCCAGAGACTCTATGTGGATAACTTAACCAAACGAGAGAACTTAAGACATATTTTCCTAGTTTCATATAAATTGCCTGTGTTAATTGTTTCAACCATATCTTTCACTAGCAAGTTTACTTTTTTGCCCTGATCTTCATGTGTTCTTGGTTAGTATTCCAGAACTACTCTTTTCAACTTGTCTGGAGAACTAGCAGAGGACATTAACGATACTGGGTTTGTTCTATAGGAGAAAAGTAGTCTTTGAAGAGAAGCCCAGGACTGAGTTTCTCAGTGTCAAGTTACTGTCTAGAAAATCTGGCAAATTCTCCCATGTGACCAGTTTTTGCTTTACTTGAAAAATCTAGTTGAAACCTCAGTGTAATATCAACAAATAATTACGTACATCGCTCTTGGATTCATAAAATGGTTTGGATTCAAAGGGTCAATTAGTCCAACCCTCTAATGATAAGGACATGGGAGTACTGATGGGTGAAAAGCTCAGTGCGACCCCACAATGTGTGCTCTCAGCCAACTGTGTCCAGGGCTGCATCAAAAGTGTGGCCAGCAGGTAGAAGGTGATTCTTCCCTTTTACTCTGCTTTCTTAAGACCCATTTGGATTCCTTTGTCCATCTCTGGAGTCCTCAGCACAGGAAGACCTGGACCAGAGTAGGCTCACAATGATCAGAGCATCTCTCTGTAGGTGGGCTGAGAAGAGAAGGCGCTGGGGAGACCTTACAGCAGCTGTTCGATGCTTTAAGACAGTCTCCAGCTCTGATGTGTAATTGTAACTGGCTTTTTAAAATGTCCAGTCTGATTCCTAACTAAGAGGTTTGGGTTTGAGAGCACATTAAAGCCAAGACTCTTTTCCCCCCTCTATCTTTGTTCATTAATCCTTAAACTGAGCTCTAGAAGCAGTCTAAGCTTCAGTTTCTTTCCGCTTTGTCAACATCTGAAGGATGTTTTCATGTATCTATTTGGGATATACAATACCTAAATTCAGTAATGCTCCTTCTCAACATGTTTTTTCAAGATGTGCTGTCCCTTCAGCACTGGCTTTTCACCAGTCAGTGCAGATATCTTCTGTTAGGGTACTCAGGCTTTCATGTATCTATTGGAGAGTGAAAAAGTAAAAGGACCCATTTCAGAATTTCTTTATTCTGTTACAAGATTGCTTTTATATTGCAAACCTGAAGAAATAATTTAAAGCCTTCTTTGGTTATTTATGTGTTACCAGTAGTTTGAGACTGGTGCAGGCCTTTCAACTTGAGTATTCAGAGTGTTGTATAAAATCTGACAGAAGCCAAATTTAAGGTAACATTAAAAATAGATATAAGGTAGTACTGAAAGAAATGTAGAACCTAAATCAAAGGTGTTGTAGTGAAGATGAAATTGGATAGTACTATGAGCATATTTTCATAAATATTGTGACTAAATTTCTGATTTAAAGCAGTAGACTTCTAGGGCTGATATCTGGTTCTTGAGAGATTGACAAGTGGGATGAGAAGAAAAAAGGCTCTATAAGTACAATAGAATTATGGGCAAAGTGTGGTTGCTCTCTTCAGGCATGTTACCAAATGCCTTGTGCTGCAATGCATCATAAGCTGTGCATGGTGCTGTGCTTTGTTCTGTACCACAAAGGGGTGAAATCCAAGAGCAGAAAGCACAAAGGGAACAGGTTCAGCTTTCTCATAAGAATTCCAGAGTGCTGCACTGCATGGATGTGTCTGTACTGAAAACATGAAGCTAGACCAGATTGTCCAAATCATAAGCTGTTTGGTGTGATAGACTGTGTGAGAAGATTGGAATTTAAAAGGCAGATTTTAAAAAAATACTGGCTTCCTTGTGATCTCTTTCAGCAGCTCTCAAGTGTCACCATTGCAAGAGAGAAAAACCATATTGTTTTTGCAAGCCTAGCCCATGTAGGTACTGTCATGTAATAAGAAGGCAGAGGATTTTGTGGTGGGAAAAAAAACCCAACAAAAAAACCCAACAAACCTGTTGATGAAGGATAGTAGAATAGGAACAAGTTGTGGCTTTTGTGTTGGTCATCATGGAGAATAAAAAAATCCTGCAATGCTTAATGTGTGTCCAAGGTTGGGAGATGTAGGCCTGTGAGTGAGCTTGGTCTCATTTGTGTGCTGTAAAGAGCTATGGGGAGTTGTGTGTTGCCAAGTCATGCTACAGAATTGAAAACAAGTAATTTTGGTGAAAGTGAACTTCGCAAGTGTGGGAAGAGAACAGGATAAGGTTACAAGCTTGCTTATGGGAATGGTTCTAGAAGAACCTGTAGTGAAATTTCTTATATTTTGTTAAAATTGCTGATTGAAATGCTTTTTCACCAGGCACTGCACATAAAATTATGATGCTTCTATTGCTTTTTGCTATTACTAAGCAAGTTGATTTATAACCACAGAAATGAGTTTGCTTAATTCTCAATTCTCTGCACATCTAACTGCAGTGTTTTTTTTCCTTTTTAAAAAAGCCACAAGAGGATGCTTCATAGCATGTGTATACAAAAAACAGAATATAGGGAGCTTCAGTGGTTAAAACACTCCCAGTGCTAGGTGATGGTTTACATGTCTTGAATAACTGTACTTTCATTTGTACATTTCATTGACAAACACGTGCTACTAAAACTAAATGTTTTGAGCTGCAATGTTTGTTTATTTCCTGTTTTTAAGATCTCTTGTATTGAGAAGATTATTTCTTTGCTGACAAAATCTAATTCTTGGAACTCTGGCCACTTAATATTCTTGCTGGATTCTCTAACAGCTAACTACATGATTCTGATTATTTTTAAACATCCCTATAGTCAAACACAAAGTATGATGACAGTTATTTATGAGAAGCAGAAATGTATTGGCACTTAAAAACCTCAACCCACAGTTCAGGTGTGTGCATTGGGGGAGACTTCAACCATCCTCAAAACTATAATTTTAATACTCTAAAAAATTAAGCACTTAGCTGGTGCTTGCTAAATGTGATAAACAGCAGAGGAGAATTCTTAGGGTTCTGTTTTTTAGGTATCAGACAACACTATCAAATCCTTAGCTAATAAAATGAAATTATTTTTAATGATGGCTTAGTTTCTTGGAAATCATCAGTCACATATATGCACAGGGGGTGTGTGTTTAATCTCAGATGGACATATTGTGTCCTTCAGGTCTGTAAACATTTGGCATGTGAATTTCATATTTTCAGAAAATTTCAGTATTTCAGAACTGAGCTCTGTTCAGCTGCATTGAAAGCAATTTCTCATTCATATTGAAGTGGGTTGGGTAAAGCAGAATCAAAGAAATAAAATCTGTTCTGAAATATCTGGTGAACTTTTTTCCTCTAATGTTCTCCTCCCTTGTCTCATATTCTATTAAGTTTCATGTCCAAGTAGCACAGTTTTGTAGAGGATGTACTTGTTGGGTAGGAATCGCACTGAGAATAGAAAAATAAATAGCTGTGAGATAATACTAAGACACTGAAATAGTATCAGTAAAGAATCTTGCTGTTGTGCAATATGAGATCAAACCCCTTTCTAAAGACTTTTGTGAAAAGAGGCTGCAAGTTCACTGTTTCTATGTCTCCTGTGTGAAACCGATGCACTTGGAAAACTCCTGGGAATGTTCTCCCTTGTGCTACGGTTTCTGCATGTAACCAGAAGCTGATGGGTCCTATTTTGTTTGTTCCTAGTCACTCACTGTTGATAAGCAAACTGATACTATTCTGATACCGTAGCAACATGATTGGTTTGAAGTGTATCAGATAAGTGTGTAATTTTATACTTCTAGTTGTTGACATCTGAACACTAGTAATCAGTGTGTGCAAATGCCTCTGAATCAACTCAAGCACTTGCATTATCATGTCTTCAAAGGAAGAAGGCAAAAAAAACCCCATCTTTTTTTCTTATCTCCTAGGAGGAAGAATTGAGAAAAAGTGGAGAGGCAAAGTACTTCCACCTAAATGATGATCTGCATGTTTTAATTGAAGTATTTGCTCCACCAGCAGAAGCATATGCCAGAATGGGACATGCACTGGAAGAAATCAAGAAATTCCTCATCCCTGTTAGTATTTTATATTTGTATATTTAAATTTTGGTAGTCTTAATTAAGCAATTGTCTAGAACTAACTTAGTGTATGATACTGAGCAGGTCATGTTGCTTAATTTTTTTTACCTTTTAAAGAATTGGTGATGTTTACAAATCTCATCCCAATACAGGCAATTATTGGGTAAATGGTGAACTGTCCACGTACATTCTCATATCACAATAGAACCCATAATAAAAAAGCACCATATTCTTGCATAACTGGTGTATGTATATATGTATATGAAGAGGTAAATAAAAATACTACTGTTCAGACATCCTAATTGATTAGGAGATACTTAACAGAATATTTGTAGGATCATTGCACTGTCAAAGGTTACTGTACTTGTTTCCTGACTTATTTGTCTGAGGTGAGAATTAAGTTCTTGGCTATTACAGTGAGCAAGCAACTGTCTTCTTTAAATGAAAATATGCTTAATTTGATAAGGGCTTTTTTCATGCACTGGAAATAAGGATATATTTCATCCCTCTGCCCCCTTCATCAAAGATCTTATTTTCGCTCATTGAGTGTGATTCACCTAATGTCATAATAAATGAAGTGTATCAAAACCTACTCATTCCGGCTGTTAAGCCTGTAGAATTAGACAGATAACAAGCAATTTTGTTCATTGGCTGTCTCAATTTTGCATCTTTATTGTACAGAGCTAAGCTGATGCTACATAATCTTTTCTGAACTATGGGATCAAGCCAACACTGTCTTAATTTCCCTTTGGTTTTACGAATGTAATCTTATCAGAATGGCTCTAAATGCCTTAATCTCTACTGCCCCCTCACCCCCCTTGCAGCAGCCACTCCAGGAAGCAATAATGAGCAGCTTTGTCCTTTCTAGAGCTACAACTTGGTTAACTGCTACTGAATAGAACTTTATTTTCTATAAGATCTTTAGTGGCTTTTAGGAAATTACCATTTGTTTCTCAAGTAAGAAGCCCTGCTATCAGTAAATATGATCCTGAACTTAGTTTGTTTTCCTTACAACATAAGCTAACTATACCTTCCAACAACTGTAGATGCTGCTCCTGATTTATGGATATGGTCATTGTTCCATGTTCAGATGAGGTCTGAATTGGTGCTAGAATGTAGGACAAAATATCCTTGTAGCAGTTGACCACAGAAAAAATGCCATATTTTCCCTTCTCAGATCTTTTTAGAGCCACAGTTCTGTGTATCTTTGCATCGAATTCAGCCTCAAGCAGCTGTAGTGGTGCATTTGCCTTTAAGCTATTGAGATAACTCAAAACAAGTACTAAAAGCTCAGGTATTTTTTATCATACTGCATTGACTTTCACCTGTCTTCTGCAGGTAGAATTCTGGGTTTTGACTTCAAGTACAAGTTTTTGTCATCCTTTAACTAGCCTATCTCTTTATTCTGGCTGTACCCTCTGGTTAGGACTGTTCATCTGTTAGATTGATGGGTGTTGTGCTTGATGTTAATTTATCCCAGAATTACTTCAATCAATTAGGACCAAAGACAGATTCTTCTGCCCTCACCTTCCACCCCAGATCCTGTATTATATCATGATTATTTCAGTTTTGGCCAGGAGGACTTTTTTTGGTATTTTACTTAATTTTTGAGTAGTGGTAGCCATTATTCTTTTGACAGTCACAACATTAATTATGCTTTCATTGTTGATTACCAGAGTTATTTGTTTTCCTTGTCTCTGAAGTAAAGTACAGAAATCTTTCTGAGAACAATTTGTAGCAGTCAATTGATATGAGCACAGTTACCAAGTTTTTCATGTAGTCTGTCTTGCTTCCTGCATGTCCAGTCTGTAAAGTGTGGTGATGAAATGGTGTTTAATGACATTTAGAAGAGCTGGTGGGCTTTGGAAGTTCTCACACAGTTTTCTTTAACCTGGCAAATAGCTGAGGAGTGTGTGTGTGTGTAAAGGTGGCTGGAAACCAAATAATGATTTATTGCTCACTGCCAGGTTAAAGATCTGCTTGGGTGTTTTGCACAACTGCATAGAGTTTTGCAGTGATCTGTCCTACCAATACATAAATTTAAAAAAAATTATTAATAGTGTGATGAGTGGGAATAAGGTCTGAAGTTACAGATGATCCCATGGAGAGCTGCTGTCCATGTGCTGATCAGGGCTGAGTGAAAATTGCAGGTAGATCTAAAAGTGTTGCTTAGCTGGGTCATGTAGTTCTGCAGAGAAAATCTCTTGCACATATCTGGCATAGTCATTGCTACAGGGGTAAATGTGTGTTCAGAGAAGACTAGTCAGTCATGATGGGCAGTATTCATAAAGCCAGAGTAAAACTGTTCACTTTAAATTCAGCAGCAGCATTTGACTGTAATTTGAGTGTTGCCTCTTATCTAAAGTGTACAAGGGAGGAGTGCAGTCTAAAGGGTTTCCATGTCCATCTTGTGTTCTAGGTAAAGAAGAGAGATGGTTATCTCCTCAATTTGACTTGAAGTGTGCTGTTTTCCAGCAGTGGGTATTCACAAATTGACCATCTGCTCCTTTAATTGAAGAATCTATTTCAGAGTTTAATAAATTAACACTGCTTATCATGGCTTCCTTATACTGGCCCTTCACTCTATCTTCCTGCTGCCTCTGGCATAAGTGATAAAGACCATATTTTCTGTTCTGTGCCTTTGCACAGTGAAGTCTTTGTCTGTGACTAAGGCTGCTGGTTTCTCTAGTACTAATATGTTACAGGAAAATGAAAAACCAAGGAGAAAAGAAACAAAGGATCCAGCATGCACAGTGGCAGCCTAACCACATCTTGGTTAAATTAAATGAAATTATTGTCAAATGATTAAAGGTATTTTTCTTGACCCCAGATATGAGGAGGATGTCTTGTAAAGTTAAAAGGCATCTTTGATATACGTTGTGTCAGAATTTTGAGACATACCATTGCAGTACAGTTTTAACAGTCTATTAGCATTTCATTGCAAGAATCAAGGTCTGTGTCCCATACTCTGTTGCATAGAGTTTAGCATTTGTAGCTAGTTCTGGTCTGGCAACAAATTACAAATCCAAAGTGGGTTTCTGTACAGTAGTTGGCCAGAATAGCATTCAATTGCCTGCTTTTAATCTACTCCCTGTGATAATTTGGTTGTGTATTGGTTCAAGCTATTTGGTGATGGAATCTGTTTCTCAGAAGCTTCAATTATGTAGTTCTAAACAGTACATTCAGTTGCCCAGATTTTTTTCCCTTCATCTTGTGTGCTGGTTGGTTTCTGCTGCTAAACAGAGGGTGATCTTAGATGGGCAGTGTGAGTTACATTTCAGAGCCTATTCAACACAGTTTGGACAAAATGCTTTTAAGTGCCCCTTTTTAATACTAGTAACTACCTTTTTCAATGGCATGTAAAGGGAAACTTTAGTATTTCTGTTTGAAGAAGTATAGGGCAAGTAGAATGCTTCAAGGGTAATCAAGATCTTTGAATTCATGGATGTTTTAATCTCCTTTCAATGCAGAGCTGTGTTTCAGAGCTGTCTGATGCAAGGCTGCCTGACAGCCTTTTGGTACCTGCCTAGTGCATACATGGAATAAAGTCAGATATCCAGTGAGATGCAGAACCTTTGTTTTGTAATTGAAATGTAAAATGGGTGATATGTGAAGAAATCTTCCTTTTTTGAAAGGAGAGGATTTGCAGAAGATAAGAGCTATTGTATCAAGTATCACTTCATTTTTATTAGAGGACTTCCTAATATTTTGGTACTTAGTTTATATGTATACATGTTGACTAAGGTATTTTTCTGATTCACCTTTATTGATAATTTCTTGGCTCACTTAAAGTGGAGGGGAAATGACAAAAATATGTATAGCTTGAGTTCGTTGCTCTGTCTATTACTGCTGTGGGATATGCTCATTCTGGAGGTTGGCTCAAGATCCCTGATAACTCTTGTGTTGTGGAGTACTATATTAATTCCATGTAAATAAATTCAGTTTTCTTTTTGATAGACCTTGAGAGAAGATTTGTGCAGAATAAGAAACAAGCTGTGTGTCTTCAATTCTAAGCTACATAGCAGTAAACAAGCTGAAATTGTTTAGTTCTTTTAATTAGATAATTGTGTATGTATTAAATGAATGTCCTTGTTTATTCTTTAACTCCTGATTTTAGAAGTTTAGATGTCTATAATCTATTCCTTCTTAATGAGGGGCTGTTCTCAACAGTGTATTATTACTGCTTTGAAACACCAAGCAATGGGATTTTTCCTGCTTTTAACATTTACCATTGTATAGCTGGAGCTACAAACCAGGTCTCAGTACAGATTATGGGACCTTGATGTTTTTGTTGTTTCTTCCTATCTACAGCATATTAACACTGGCATTTTAATTGGTAAAACTACCTGGAGGCAATATGCAGTGGGGAAAATAACAATGCCTGAACAAAATCTGCAATTAGTATGTGGTATTATTTTGTAAGTTTTAGACTGAATAATATACCTATAATATTATGCATATTGAACTTTTTTAATGGGATGCTCAAGTTTTAGAGAGGAAACTTTCAGGAGCAGTGTTTGCTGGTCCTAACTGGAAGTGGTGGTTGATCAGTATATTTTTCTCACTGTGTCCCACTGTTCTAGGATTACAACGATGAAATCAGACAGGCACAGCTTCAAGAATTAACATATTTAAATGGTGGCTCAGAAAATGCAGAAGTTCCAGTGGTTCGTGGAAAAGCATCTATTCGAGCAAGAGGAGTCCCAGTTCCTGCTTTGTCCAGGTAAGTATCTCAGCTGCAGTGGAATTTCAATTGAATGTACGTATTTTAAGCTTAACACAACCACCCCATCACCCTAAGTGCAACAGTAAAATACATGAAGGACTCTCAATATATGAGCAGATTACTGAAACAATCTTGATAGTCTAATTAGTTTAGACTGAATCAACAATGGGGCTGAATTCTGTTTTATGAATGATACCTATGTTAAGAAACACTGTCCATCACACAAGATATTCAATCTCCCTCTGAGCATCTGCTTGATTTTTGTAACCTTCAGTTGCTCCTTTGGTGCATGTAGGGTCTGTTTATGTGCCCTCTGGAGCTCATGGCTTTGAAAAACTGGTAAATCTGTCTTGCCCTGACTGACATGTGAATTTCAGAGCAATTTCTCTAACTCACAGAAAAAAAAATATTCCTTTTTTGCTGTATTTCTAAGTTTTTGTGGTAATGAAAATGTTACAGAAGTATTTGGGAGGTAAAATTTTGATTAAGTCTCATCTTAGTGGCACTTAGTAAAATCTGGCTTTTGTTTCAGGAATAGGCAAGTCTACTGCTTTTGCTTTATTTTTCTTTGACAGAGCATGTCCTGTCTCCCTTGCAGTACTGAGATGACAGCTTCAACTCCTTTGAGTCTCAAAGTGTGAAAACCAAAACTAAAAAAAAGTGAATAACTGTTTCTGTTACAGTACAAAGACTGGCTGCAGCAGCTCAATGTGACTGGTTTCTACAGTGATCTGTTTTCCTTCACTTTTGGCTCTCTTGTTTTTTTAGTGCAAGCTTGAAACTTAGATTTCAGCTTTTAAAATAACTTCAAAATAACATTCTGAAGTATGTTAACTCAGATGAAGCATGTTAAAAAAAAAGCATGGGGATTTATTACTTTATGCATAACTGTTGACAGTTACATGTATCCTGCAATAATGATGGCAAACACAATGAAGAATTAATCTTAGAGAATCTACAGTTACTGTGTATATCCTGTAAGAGCAAAATTATTTTTCTAAATAAATTATTTTAGTTCTTCAGTAATGTTCTGTAATATATCCTGCTTCTTTTCTTGATTTTTAATGTTGTTCAGAGTAGTGGTAATTATATACCAAGGTTCATTTCTTAGCTTCATTTCTTAGCACTGTAATTAGCCATATGGAAGTGTTAGCAAATTAGAGACTTCATTTAATTTTGGAGATTTTTTCCTAATTCTTGCCCATTTGTACCTATGATAGCTCTTCTACAGATGCTCAGTACAGATATTCTCACAGTTCTATTTCATGTTTCCTTCTTGTTTTTTATAATGTCTTTAATCTAGTGTTTTTGATACAGAGGTTAGCTGCTCTTTGGTCTGATTCTACCACTGAAGTTTGGTACCTAATTTCCACTACTAGTATCTAGCAAGTACATGCACAATTAAGTTTTCATAATCCTGCACTAGTTCAGTCTTCTGGTTTTTAGTAAATTATTTTTTCAAACCTGTATCTTATACCAGACATACATGCTGTTAGGTTGCTCACAAAATCCTTTGTAGCTCATCCTATTGGCTTCAAACTATTGAAGTGGCTTCAGGGTAAATGTAAATGTTATTAGCATTTGAGTTGGAGATGACAGCTAAAAACTGTATTTGTCACCTCCTTCTTATGTTCTGAAGACTGAAAGTTGTTTGACTTGTCCTTACTTTAAGGCTTCTATTAAGAATTTTCCCCCTCAAATCAACATGCTCTATTTGCATAAAAGGTCTCCCGAGGGAAATCACAATCTTAGGGGTTGGGAGGACCTCAAAAGATCATCTAGTCCAACCCCCCCTGCCAGAGCAGGGTCACCCAGAGCACATCACACAGGAACGTGTCCAGGTGGGTTTGAATGTCTCCAGTGAAGGAGACTCTACAAGCTCTCTGGGCAGCCTGTCCCAGGGCTTTGTCATTCTCACAGGAAAGAAGGTTTTTTTCTGATGTTTATGTGGAACCTCCTATGTTCCAGTTTGCACCCATTGCCCCTTGTCCTATCACTCGACATAACTGAGCAAAGCCTGGCTCTGTCCTCCTGACACTTGCCCTTAACATATTTGTAAACATTGATGAGGTTGCCCCTCAGTCTCCTCCAATCGAAAGAGACCCAGCTCCCTCAGCCTTTCCTCATCAGGGAGATGTTCCACTCCATCTTTGTGGCTTTACTAAAAAATGCAGTGCTATTGCTACTGAGATACCACAACCACTGAGTTAAAGATCTCAAACACGGATGCAATACCAGAGTATTCTTTTTTTTAGTGCAAATTGATTTCAGTGACTAATACTTCAGCAGATGGAAGGGTTTGGTAAAGGCTTTGTCTCATTGTTAAAACAGCTTTATTAGCAAGCATCCCTGAAATCCAGGAGAGGTTGAAGCAAAACTTGAGAAAACTTGTCAACCTTGATCTTAGTTCTTCTTCATAGTCAGTAGAATCTTTTTAAGTTATCAACCTTGACACATGAAACATCCTGTGAGGAGTTTAAGTTCCCAATTTTTTAAGCCTATTATTCCTGAATAGCTTCACTTTTTAAAAAAACACACAACAAAAGACAGAAAACAAACTAAAACCAACCAAAAAACCCAAAGTACTAATTTAGGCCTTTGTTTTAGCTCCTTATCAGCAATGTTGAAACTGGAGATAATGTGTCTTATCAAGTGCCTTCTTAAAAGAAGACTTGTTATGTGTATGTTTACCTCCATACTGAAATGCTACTTGGTAGAAAACACATTTGTTGTGCTTGCATACAAAGTTCTAGCTTGTACCCAGGTATTCCTACATATGGTCAGTAATTCCCTAATGGTTGTGGTTTGGTAACTTTTTACTGTGTTTTTTTCTGGCTTCTTCCAGGTTTTCTTAACTATATTTTTTTATGACTACAAAGCCAAGTAAGATTCTGGGGGTGAGTGGATGGAATTAGCTGTAGAAGGGTTGTGTGTGTTTTGAGATTTACCTTGAGGGATGTGTTTTCCTCACCATTATCCTGGGTGTATAGCTGCTTCCTTCTCCCCCTTGCCCCACTTTTATTTTTTTTCTAACATCCTAATGCTTTTGAAGATGACCTTCAAATGTAATCACAAGATTTCCATTCTCTGATGTTTATGCTGGGCATCTTCTGTGCAACATGAGAAGGGACCTGAGAATCTTTTCCTGCTGTTTGTCTGTATTTCATTCCTTTGTTTTTATGGAAAACTGACATTGTTTTTAAATGTTTTTTGGGGTGGAGTTGACTATATCAAGTGAAGAAGGATTGTATCAGTTACTTTTGAATTTCTTGTGCTAGTAAGATGTCTGTGATGCTGTTATAGAGAGTAGCTAGAAGATGCAGCTCTTCAGGTATGAGTGTTTCTTTAATGTATCTGAATTCACATCCTGAATCAGTGTCGTGTAAATTAAGCTGCTGCTAAAATGTGAACTGAAACTTCTGATTTACTAAATACTGAAAAATACCTAAGGATATTTTTCAAACAAAAAGGAATAATTTTCTCTCTAAAACTTCATATTCCTGTTCTAAGACTAATGAAAAATAAGTTGTAAATATGACTTAATTCTCACTCTAATATATTGGAAAAGTGAAATTCTAGAGGATAATAGTAAATCTAAGAACATAGATAAATCTCCCTACCCTGTGGTGAGGATGTGGAACAAATACCTGTCATTTGTAGCTAGAAATCAATGTTAGATTCATAAAATGGTTTGGATTGGATGTGGCCTTAAAGATCATCTAGTTCCACCCCCCCTGCATGGGCAGGGACACCTCCCACCAGACCAGGTTGGTCAAAGCCCCATCCAACCTGCCCTTGAACACTCCCAGGGATGGGGCAGCCACAGCTACCCCAGGCAACCTATGCCTGTGTCTGACCAGTCTCATCATAAAGAATTTCTTCTTTATGTCCAATAGAAATCTGCCCTCTCTCAGTTTAAATCCATTGCCCTTTGTCCTGTGAATATAGGCCCTAGTAACATACCTGTCATTTTGTCTTAAAAATGACCCCCTTAATTATGGAATAGGCCACAATAAGGGAGAGCTTGTTGGGCTCACTCAGAGGAATTTTATTTGAAAGCAGAGATTTTGGTTTTGTGAAGGGAGGAAAAAGTAATTTCTCATAAATCCAACATGTAGGAATACTCTAATTAGAAAAATAGTAGAATTCTGCTTCATGCTTTCATGAGATGGTAGGATTTTTAACATTTTCCCATTTGTTCTTTTCATTCAAATTTCAGGCTGGGATCTTAATTGCTGAATAACTTTGTCTATCTGGGGAAAAAGGGAACTGTTACAGTAGTTGTAGGTTAGAATTTTCTGTCATATCAGAAGTAATATGAGGTGGTGTGGATCACTGCTGAGATGTGTTCACAACTTCCAATTATTCTCCTGTCATATGGTTTTTCAACTCGTTTCTTTTTTGAAGAATGGCTTTTTGCTGGGAACATGAAGGCAGTGTGCTGCAAAAGTTTCTCTAGCACAAAAAATACCTTGCCAAGCCAGTTCAGGATCCAAGACAAAGGCAGGTATTCTGATCAATGTTTTGTTTCTTTACCCTTGTCATAAATCTCATGTTTTTGCTGAATTGAAATGTGAACATACATACACATTACTGTTCTCAAATAAAAAAGTGAAATAAAACTTGCTAGGAGTTTTAACTTCAATGATGAATCTCAAAAAAATAGGAATTCTAGCTCTGTCTGAGAGGTGGTATCTGGATATCAGTGTTCAGTAGTTTAGTGCAGATATTTTAAAATAACATCTATTATTTTTCAGGTGTCTAACGTAAAACCTGAACAAAAATACTGCTTTGAGGAATCATAAAATCACAGAATGGTTTGGGTTGGAAGAGACCTTGAAGATTATCTAGTTCCAACCCCCCTGCATGGGCAGGGACACCTCCTAGTAGATACAGCTGCTTAGAGCCCCCTCCAACCTGTCCTTGAACACTTCCACAGATGGGGCTTCAACAACTTCCCTGGGCAGCCTGTGCCAGTGTCTCACCACCCTCATAGT